GTAAAATGAACTGGAGAAGGAAATGGCAAACCACTCCAGTATCTCTGCCAAGAAAACCTCAAAGAGGGGTCATGAATAGTTGGACACAACTGAAAAATGACTGAACAACATGATACTCACTTAATGAGATGGCAGAGTAAAAGCAGTGACTTGCTTGAGCTCTCCCCCAAACCTCTCCAAATACCTGTAAAAATGGCTCTAAACAAATTCTGAAGCAGCAGAACCCACAAAAAGACAGAGTGAAACAAATTTCCAGCCCAAGACAACCTGGATAGTTGATTGGAAAGGTACATCAGTGCTGGGTGGGGAGAGGAGTGCAGTTGGGTGTGGACATGCAGGTAAGCCAGGCCTCAGTGAAACTGGAGCAGGCTTCAGAGGACTGAATCATGGGCAGCTGTGGTGGTTTCCAGACTTCTCAACCCATGAACGACAAAGACAACTTAGGAGGTCAGTAGGAAAAGTCTGTGTCTGCAGTGAGAGAGAAGCACGGGGTCCCAGCCCCATTCCCCTAATGCAGCCCCGGGGCAGTGGCTGCCTCTGGAGCTTCTGGCTCACACAGTAAGGGGGAATCGAGTGGCTGATCAGAGGGGGATTGCAGGGATCTCTTTGCTAGCGCAGGATTCTCTTGCTTTGCCCCTGCTTGGATCTGGGTCACAGTTCTGGGTGTTGGTCCAGGGGCAAGGAGGAGCCCTGGAGTGGTGGAGCTTGTAGTGGCTGTGGAGAGACAATCCTTCTCACAGTTCCAAGACAGAAAAAAGTGCTTGTGGTCACTCATAGACTAGAGCCCACGCCAGGAAAGGAGTAAACACCTCACCCTTGATCATACCACCTTGGAAGAACTGAAAATTTTCAGGTCCCTAGAAGTATCTCTGAAAACAACTGCACAAAACCCCTGAAGCTTGGGACAGTACATTCTCCACACTGGAAGCAGACTCCTACCTTAACAAAGAGTTTATAACTCAAGTAATTGGCTGGGATCATGAGCAAGCAATGCAAAAAGAATCAGACCATAGAATCTTACTTTGGTAATAAAGAAGATCAAAACATACAACCAGAAGAAGACAACAAAGTCAAAGCTCCTACATCCAAAGCTTCCAAGAAAAATATGAATTGGTCCCAGGCCATGGAAGAGCTCAAAAAGGATTTTGAGAAGCAAGTAAGAGAAGTAGAGGAAAAACTGAGAGTGATGCAAGAAAATCATGAAAAACAAGTCAACAGCTTGATAAAGGAGACCCAAAAAAATACTGAAGAAAATAATACCTTAAAAAATAGCCTAACCCAAATGGCAAAAGAGCCAATGAGGAGAAGAATGCCTTAAAAAGCAAAATTGGCCAAATGGAAAACAAAGTCCAAAAGCTTACTGGAAAAAATACTTCCTTAAAAATTAGAATGGAGCAATTGGAAGCTAGTGACTTTAAGAGAACTCAAGACACTGTAAAACAAATCCAAAAGAATGAAAAAATAGAAAACAGTGTGAAATATCTCATTGGAAAAACAACTGACCTGGAAAATAGATCCAGGAGAGAGAATTTAAAAATTATTGGACTATCTGAAAGCCATGACCAAAAAAAAGAGCCTAGACATCATCTTTCAAGAAATTATCAAGGAAAACTGCCCTGATATTTTAGAACCAGAGGGCAAAATAGAAATGGAAAAAATCCATCGTTCACCTCCTAGAAGAGATCCCCAAAGGAAAACTCCTAGAAATATTGTAGCCAAATTCCAAGTTCCCAGGTCAAGGAGAAAATATTGCAAGCAGCCAGAAAGAAACAATTCAAGTATTGTGGAAACCCAATCAAGATAACACAAGATTTAGCAGCTTCTACATTAAAGGACTGCAAGGCATGGAATATAATATTCCGGAGGGCAAAGGAGATAGGATTACAACCAAGAATCACCTACCCTGCAAAACTGAGCATAATCCTTTAGGGGGAAAAATGGACATTTAGTGAAATAGAGGACTTTCAAGCATTCTTGATGAAAAGACCAGAGCTGAATAGAAAATCTGACTTTCAGATACAAGACTCAAGAGAAACATGAAGAGGTAAACAGGAAAGAGAAGTCATAAGAGACTTATTAAGGTTGAACTGTTTACTTTCTGCATGGAAAGATGATATTTGTAACTCATGAGTCCTTTGTCAGTATTAGAGTAGTTGGAAGGAAAAATTATATGTATGTATATAGATAGCTAGACAGATAGAGGGCATAGGGTGAGTTGAAGATGAAGGGGTGATATCTGGAGAATAAAATTAAGGGGTGAGAGAGGATTATACTGGGAGAAGGAGAAAGGGAGAGGTAGAATGGGGTAAATTATCTCACATAAAACAGACAAGAAAAGGCTTACACAGTGGAAGGGAAATGGGGGAAGGTGAGAGGGAATGAGTGAATCTTATTCTCATCAGATTTGGCTTAAGGAGGCAATAACATACACACTCAATTGGGTATGGAAATCTGTCTTACCCTATAGAAAACAGGGGTGGAAGGGGACAAGACAGCAGGAGGACGATAGAGGGGAGGGCGGATTGGGGGAGGGGGTAATCAGAAGCAAACACTTCGAAGGAGGGACAGGGTCAAAAGAGAGAATAGAATAAATGGGGGGCAGGATAGGATGACGGGAAATATACTTAGTTTTTCACAGCATGACTAGTATGGAAGTGTTTTTCATGATTACATATGTATAACCTGTATCGAGTTGCTTGCCTTCTCAATGAGGGTGGGTGGGGGGAGGGAAGAAGGGAGAAAATTTGGAACCCAAAATTTTAAAAAGTTAAAAAAAATTGTTTTCACATGCAACTGGGAAATAAGATATACAGGAAATGGGGTATAGAAATCTATCCTGCCCTACAGGAAAATTGAAGGGGAAGGGGATAAGAGCAGGGGGGAGAGATAGAAGGGAGGGCGGATTAGGGATATTCAGAATGCATGCCATCTTGGGGTGGGGGGAGGGATGAGATGGGGAGAAAATTTGGAACTCAAAATCTTGTGGAAGTGAATGTTGAAAACCAAAAAGAAATAAATTAATTTAAAATAAAAAAATGGTACCCACTTAAACAGGAGTGTGGAAAAAGCTGTCTTGAAGTTGATAATCTTTGCTTGGAACACAGGCCTTTATTACAAAGGGTAAAAGTATCTTCAGAAAAATTGCTGAAATGTTTGTCTCTTTGGGTACCAGTTTTATTGAACCCTAAATTTTCCTTCCACATCATCAGCATCATGTAATATTTATTAAGTGCTCACAGGTGTTACGGTGGCTATGTGACCTCTGACCTACTTTCCAAATCCAATCTAAAATATACCCTGTTAAGAGTATGTCCAATAGACACCATCTACGATGTTTAAATCTCCATTATTTCCTCTATATTTTTCCCAGAGGCATGGTTAAAATGTCCAGGGTAGAATTGGAGATTTTCAGAATGGTTCTCATAAATACCTTTGCACATTTAGTAAATGTTACATATATTTATATATATGTGTGTATATATATATATATATATATATATACACACACATACACACATACATATACATATATATACACACACATATATCTATACACATATATGTATCTATACACACATATATATCTATATACACACATACATACATTACACACACACACACACACACACACACACACATACTGAAAAATTACGGAGAGCCCTTATTCTGGAAGGAGCTTGATATGGGGGAAAGAGCTTTGAGATGAAATCTAATTCAGCCTCTAATTTGTGTGCTACTTTGGGTAAATCACTTTATTTCTCTAAGCCTCAAGTTCTTCACTTACAAAAAATTAGAAAATAGCCCTCAGAATAATCTTCACCCTTCCTCTCCCCCACCCTCCTTGTTGTGATGATCAAATGAGATTGAGCTCTGGAACCATAAAATGTTCTATATCTGTGAGCTAAAGTGTGAATACTGCAGAAAAACCACATGCCATCCATCTCTTTGAGACTAGGGTTTTACTATTTGAATTTTTTTTTTTTTGGTAAGACATACTCATAGGATTATGGGATTTAAATTTGGGACAGACCTTGGATACCGTCTCTTCTAATGTTCCTCATTTTAAGGGATGGGAAAACTTAGGCCTGTGTACTTGTAGTGACTTCCTCAAGGTCACAGAGAGCTAACAAACCAAAACAAAACAACAAAAAAGCCTTATTTTCATTGCTCCTTGGTATTTACCACATCTTTATTTCTGAATTTCTTTTCCTCTTTCTCTCTTCCCACAGTGAACTAATCCTTATAATAAAAATTAAAAATTAAAGAAAATAAAAAGCAATTCAGAAAAAGTAACAGCTGTGTCTGACACTATACGCAACATTCCTCTCCTATTGTCTCCCAATAGGTGCCAAGGTGCAGAGTGAGTTTTATTTTCCCAACTAGTCTGTGAGGCCAAGCTTGACTATTATGCCATGGCAGCTATCATTTTTTAAATAAAATATAATGCAGCTTTTGTCTCTTTTTTTGGACACTGTTACAACATAGCAAGGAATGGTTCATTTTTAACCTTTTCTTGACAGCAATATATATATATTTTAAGCAGGAGGGCAAATTTAGCCCTTATCAGGGCCACCACTCATGCTGGCCTGGAACTGGACCAAGAGGAAGGAGGGGGCAGGGGGACGGTATGGTTATGAAAGAGGAAATGTCAGTTTCAGGGGGAAAAGGGAGACAAATGTATTATATGTGTACATACGTTAATGTATGAAAAAGGGGCTGCTTGCACATAAGAAAGGGGCAGGTGAGGGGCTAAGAAAGATGGATTAGGAAGGGGTTTGGCAACAGGAAGGCCCACAAATTATATTTTTTTTAATACAAAGTACCAAGGTGGGATTAGTTACCCAAAGAGTGGGTGAGGGGCGCACTTTCTTCCCCTCTTTTCTCCACCTACCCCGCCCTACATCTCACAACCCACACCCTCCTTAGTCCGGAAACTGCCACAGGCCTGGGCTACCCCTCCCCAGGGGGTGGAGGAGGGTTTATCAGACCGCTCAGGAGAAGCTCAGTCCCCAGTCCGGGCGAGATACATAAGGCCCTGCTTTCACCTCAAAGATACTCTGCTAACCTAGAACAAGGGGCCAGACGATATGGTCCGTGAGGGCAGGGACCCCTGGAGAGGCATCTGCAGTAACGGCCCCTTCCCCTTACTGCGGGGTCAGCAGGGCCGGCTTTTCCTCCTCCTCCTCCAGCTGCTGCTGGTGAAGCTGTTGCGCCCAGCCAGCCGCGCCCTGGGCGCCCCGGGTAAGTGAGTTGGCTTCCCCGCAGCTGGGCATCACTGAGGGTGGATCGAGACTAGGGCGGCTCCCGAGGGCCGGAGCCTGAGCTGTTTATAGAGCTTGCACCCCGGGGGAAAGACAGACACACCCATTTCCAGAGCTCACAGAGGTGTAAGCAATTGCACTCACCCAACCCTGTTGACCCAGGTACAGTTCCAAAGACCCCATTCCTCTGGAGGTGGAAGATTTTTTTTTAAATTTTTAATCATATTTTTTCTCTCTCTCTTTCCCTCTCCCTCTACCCCTTTACCCCCTCTTCCCTCCTCCTCTCCCTTTCCCTTCCCCCTCTCTCCACTCCCCCCCTTCTTTCTCTCTCTCCTTTTTCTCTCTTACAGTAACATTGCAAATATTCCCCAAGGTATATAACCTGATAAGCAAATAATAGAAACCAACTGGAAAAGAAGTACAGTTTGAAAGACCCTAGAATAATAACTGAAAACTATTTAACACTTTACAGTTGGCAAAATGCTTGACATGTTTTTTTCTTTTGAGTCTTACAACAACCCAGTGAAATTGATGCTATAGGAATTTTTACCTCCATTTGACAGATGAAGAAATTAAGGTTTAGAGAGGTTTAATAACTTGTGGTGGTCACACAGTTCAATGAAATAATTAAAAATTGAGGTTCATAAAGACATAGCCCCGTCTTTCAGGGTATATGATCTGGGGAGATAAGGTTAAGAAGGTTACATAAATAACATAAACAAAACAAAATAGGATGCAAGGGAAAGATTCCAAGTGCTATGAGAAATTTGAGGAGGCGGAGAGCACTTTCAGTTGGCATCAGAGTAGAGGTGGCAACTGGGTTGGGTCTTGAAGCAATGGTGGTATTTGGTATCATAGATTTAGAAATGGAAGGAATCTTTAGAAGTCATCTGGTCCAACCCATTCATTTTGCCAATTAGGCCCAACCAGATTAAGTGACACAGTCAAGGTTACACAGGTAATAAGTGACAAAGGCAGGACATAAGTCAGGTCTTCTGGTTCCCAAATTAGGGCTGTTTCCATTGTAGTACACTGCATCATTTCAACAGTTGTAGGTGGAGAGAAGAGGTATGAGGTGTGGCATGAGCAAAGACTGGGAAAAGGTAGGGTAAGAGGGGAAAGGAGGGCTGTGAGTTCTACATTTTGACTGAAATGTTGATTGCATGAAGGAGAAAGGTGGAAGAGAAACTTGGAAAAACAAGTTGGAGCCAGATTTTACAGGGCCTTGAATTTTAAAAAATTTACATATAGAAAAGAAGACATCATATGATTTATATGAACTGTATGACTTGAAACAACAAAACACCTAGAACATGGTGTATATATAACTGTGTGTGTATATCTATATCTATAATTATACATTTCTATATACATATATGTAATATACAGCATGTATATACAGTTATATATACTTCACTGTATATATGTGTGTATATGTATATATACACATATACACACATACACATATATCCATCTAAACTCCATAAACATCTCCATATCTTGGATAAATTAACCTTTCAAGATTTGTGACATGATACAAGACTATGCTGCAGCATTCCATCTCCATTTGGAAATTTCTGTAATTCTATATAGAATGTTTATAATATAATATATGAATTACATATAGTATATAAATATAATGAATATATTTATTTTTTATATTTATTCCATATATACATATGGAATAAATATATACACATACACATAGTGCCTGTCACATAGTAAGCACTTAGTAAAAGCATGTTGATTGTTGACTGACTTAACCAACATTTATTGAATGCTCACTATATATAAGGAATATGCTAGGGGCTATGGGAAGACAGAAAGTATAAGATGTGAGTACTTTCACATACTTGAGTTCCTTTGCTCATACTTTTCGATCCCCTGCACTCAGTCCCACCTGTCAAAATTTCCACTCTTCCTGCAAGACCTAGAGCAAATGCTACATCCTCTGTGAAGCCTTCCCTACTTTCCCTAGTCAGAAGTCATTGCTCCTACATCTGCTGTCATAGCACTTCATCTACACCGTTACTACTGTATATTCATTTTCTACCTTAATTTATAGCTATTTTATCGGCATTTGTTATCTCTCCTGCCAAATTTTAAGCTCCTTGAAATCAAGGACAATGTCTTATTTTTCTGTGTATCCTGCCTGCCCAGTGAGAACTAGCACAGGAAATGATTCAGATTTGTAAGCTGTTTCACAAAAACAATTTGTCAGTTTTTGTCCTCATTTTAAATTTTCTAACATATTTTCCTTTGTGCTTCTGGGGGAAAAATCCTGGCTCTCTGATGGCTTGAATGAGCTTTGCAACATTTGACTTCCCCACACCAACAGACATTGAAGTATCTCAGTCATTGAAACGTTCTTTTTAAATCCTGCAACTTCCTTAGCGTAGTATCCATTCTTTTTTTTCTTAATAGTAACTTATTTTTTCAATTACATGTAAAGATACTTTTCAGCATTTATTTTTGTAAAATTTAGAGTTCCAAATTTTTCTCCCCCCCTTCCTCTTCCCCAAAACAGCAAGCAATCTGATATAGGTTATACATGTACGATCATGTTAAACGTATTTCCACGTTAGTCATGTTATGAAAGAAGAATCAGAACAAAAGGAAAAAATCACGAGAAAGAAAAAACAAACAAAAAAAGTGGAAATAGTATGCTTCAATCTGCATTGAGACTCCATAGTTCTTTCTCTGGATATGTTTAGCTTTTTCCATCACAAGTCTTTTGGAATTGTCTTGGATCATTGTATTGCTGAGAAGAACTAAGTCTATCATAGTTAATCATGCACAATGTTGCAGTTGCTGTGGACGATGTTCTCCTGATTCTGCTCACTTCACTCAGCATCAGTTCATGCAAATCTTTCCAGGTTTTTCTGAAGTCCACCCGCTCATCATTTCTTATAGCAAAATAGTATTCCTTTACATTCATATACCACAACTTGTTCATCCATTCCTCAATTGATGGACATCCCTTCAATTTCTAATTCTTTGCCACCACAAAAAGAGCTACTATAAATATTTTGTACATGTGGGTCCTTTCCCCTTTTTTTATGATCTCTTTGGGATACAGACCTAGTAGTGGTATTACTGGATCAAAGGATATGCATGGTTTGGTTGCCTTCGGGCTTAGTTCCAAATTGTTTTCCAAAATGGTTGGATCAGTTCACAACTCCACATCAGTGTCCCAATCTTCCCACATCTTCACCAACATTTATCATTTTCCTTTTCCATCATATTAGCCAATCTGATAGGTGAGAGGTAGTAACTCAGAGTTGTTTTGATTTGCATTCTTCTAATCAATAGTGATTTAGAGCATTTTTTCATATTATTACAGATAGCTTTAATTTCTTCCTCTGAAAACTGCCTGTTCATATCCTTTGACCATTTATCAATTGGAGAATGACTTGTATTCCTATAAATTTGACTCAGTTCTCTGTGTATTTTAGAAATGAAGCTTTTATCAGAAAATACTGGCCGTAAAAATTGTTTCCCAGCTTTCCGCTTTCCTTCTAATCTTGGTTATTAACATCCGTTCTTAAAACCATGGCAAAAAAGAAGGAAGAAATATATGTCAATAGCATGAAATCCAGCACTCAGTACACAGAGAACTGATTAAATTTGGGGAATTAGTTCAATATTGTTTCATCTAGTCAAAGTCAGATGTTCTGAATCAGCCTATTGTTAGTAAAACCACGTGTGAATGAATATTGCTGTCTCAAAATAAAACCATATCAAAACTATTGCTTGTCCCAAGTGATTTGCTGACCACTGTAACAAGGAGAAGTTGGTAAAATTTCCTTGCTACTTTTTCCCCATACTAGGATATTTACATTTTAATAGGGGACTAAGCCTGAATCTAAAGAAATAACTCCTTTCTGTGGAATTTCAGACATCACTGATGAGGTCGGAAATGGGGTTTTTGGTTGTTGTTTTCTCCCTTAAGTAGAAGTGTCTTCTCTCTGCTCAAATAATGGCAGCAAGGTGTTTAAATGAAAGGAATATATTGGACAAAGAAAATCTGTGCTCTCATTTTAGCTTTGCCATTTATTAGCTATGTAATCTTGGCCTACTGAGTTAGTCAAGCACCTGTTATGTGCCAGGCATTGTGCTAAGCACTGGATATACAAAGAGATGATTTGCCAACAACTATTTATTTAAGCTTTCTGGACTTTAGCCACTTAATCTCTAAATTGAGGGGATTTGTTAAGTCATTTTTCAGTTGTGTCCAACTTTCTTTAACCCTCCTTGGTGTTTTCTTGGTAGAGATACTGGAGTGGTTTGCTGTTTCCCTCTCCACCTCATTTTATAGGTGAGGAAACTGAGGCAAAGAGGATTAAGTGACTTGCCCAGGGTCACACAGCTAGTAAATGTCTGAGTCTGGATTTGAACTCAGGAAGATGAGTCTTCGAAGTCCAGTGTTCGATTGATCCACTGTGCCACCTAGGTGCCCAAAATAAGAGGATTAGAGTCAATGATATCTAAAGGCCTTTCTAACTATAATACTTTTCTTCTGTTCAGTAATATCATGCAGGTAGATGTTTAATGCTGTCAGTTCTGTCTATGTGCCTGTTCCCAAAGACCCAACTGTGCTGGTATTGTGCATGCTTTTCCCAAAATAATGCTTTACTTTTTTGGTATGGTCTTTGCACAAACACTTGTCCTTTAGAACCAATTATTCAGTGCTTACCACGTCATTCTTCTAAAACAGGTAATATGGGTAAAGACAGCTGGTGTATACTCAGAAGTTGATAACATGGAAAGGAACTACTTTGGGGTTTGTAAACTCACTGACAGATCCTATGAGAGGAAGTCACTTTTTATGTAAAATGTATTAATAAAGGATGATGAGGAGTTGGTCTTGTTTGTTATGACCTTAAGCAAAGTATCCTGGGAAAGCAAAACAAAATCAAAACAAATTGGGGTCTTGCTCACAGTCTGTTTGTAGCCGTTGTTGAATTGATTGATTTTTTT